CACATGCCCACCACATGCGCCAATCGAGCTGAGAGCAACTGGCCGTGACGTCAAAATATACCAGAATGAGAGAGCAAGACGAACTCGACAAGAAAAAGAGGAAGCATCGAAAAAAAGGCAGTGTTGCCAAGTTTTTAATTTGAAAAAGCACCACGTTTTTATTGGTGTATTTTATGGACTTTATATGAGTACATAATTTTATTGTAAGGATGCCGATTAAAATTAATAAAAATCAATGTTTCTTGCACAATGGTCGATTTCTTCTGGCATGATTGAAGGTGCTGCACATATTTCGTTTTCGCTTATGATTGTCACTGTGCCATGATTTTGTTAAAATTTTTGTAAAATTGCTTACCACACTTACGATTGCTATAAATTTTGTTCAATTTTTTTTAAGATTTTTAATTTGATGTCTTCAAACTAAAAACAAAAGCATCAAAAACGCACCAATCACAAATCTCAAAAATTTTCGCGTTTTGAATACCCACTGAATTTGGTGCGAAAAACATGAAGCTGGCAACAGTGAATGTATACAAAAGTATTTTATGACGTCAGCGATTGGGTGGATGCTGGCAAATCGACGAAGAGAGGGTTAGCGGACCGCGAATGGCGCGACCTTTATTTTCTGGAAGGTGTATGCTCGCTGTAAGCTTCTTGGTGTGGCATACATACATACATTTTGATGTTCATCTTTTCCTCTATTTCACAAAGATGAAGTTCGTGAAAAAAAGTTGCCGCAACGCAGCAGAAACCTTATTTTAAATCGTTTTGTAGCATACAGAATAAATAACCAAGAATGCACCAATCGAGCTGAGAGCAACTGGCCGTGACGTCAACAAATACCAGAATGAGAGAGCAAGACGAACTCGACAAGAAAAAGAGGAAGCATCGAACAAAAGGCAGTATTGCCAAGTTTTGAATTTGAAAAAGCGACAAATTTTTATTGGTGTATTTTATGGACTTTATATGCATACATAATCTTTTTGTAAGGATGTCGATTCAAATTAATGAAAATCCATGTTTCTCGCACGATGGTCGATGATTGAAGATGCTGCCATATATTTTGTTGTCACTGTGCCATGATTTTTATTAAATTTTTGTAAAGTTGCTTACCACACTTACGATTGCTATAAATGTTGCTTCCATTTTTTAAGATTTTCTAATTTGGCGTCTTCCAACTAAAAACAAAAGCACCAAAATCGCACCAAGCACCAAGCTCAAAAATTTTCAAGGTCTGAATACCCACTAAAATTGGTTCGAAAAGCATCAAGTTGTCAACAGTGAATGTCAACAAAAGTATTTTATGACGCCTGCGATTGGGTCGATACTGTCAAATCGACGAAGAGAGGGTTAGCGATCCGATAATGGAGCGACCTTTATTTTCTGGATCGTGATAAATAACAGCAAAGAAATATCTGTTTCGCTTCATGCAAATTCTGCACAAAACAAAACTCAACTTCAACAAATCAACATTCAAACAATTGCGTTAGACTTGAATACATGCATACATAAGTGCATAACTATGTTCAAATTAGAATTGATATGGCAAAGTACTTTAGACCTGTTTTTTATGGGAATCCTAGCCGAATTCCATTTTTCCAACGCTGTAGTGGCATGCACAAACAACAGCAAATCAATGATGTACATATGTATGTCTATTTGTTGGACTACATGGGAATTCGGCACATTGTTTTCGCGAAGTTGATAAATTAGCAAGTGCGTTAAAGGGAGAGTTTTTTGGCTTATACAAAGTGGAATTTCGTTACTAAATACAAAAATGTCTTTAAAATAACAGAACAGTGCGAAGTGTTTAAAAATGCCTAAAGCTTAAATAAATTTGTCGAACACAAACGAGAGCCGCAAGGGCAATGGCCCGTAATCGGAGAATAGTAGCGGCGCGCAGTGTTTCGACTATATGGAGGCAGGTGGAAATAATAGTAAACTTGCACCAATTTCACTGAAACTTGACATGGGCTCTAGTTTTACTTAGGAATAGGGAATTATGAAATTTGGTAAAGATGGAGTAATTGCCACGCCTTCTACTCTTGGGGGCGGAAACATAAAATTTCATCCGATTTCGATGAAATTTAGTTTGTGCTCTCTCTTTTATTAGAAAAACCTAAATGTAAAATATGGGGAAGACTGGATCACTATAACGTCCAAAGCTAAAAAAAAATGTGAGCCCAGTCGTTAAATATGATGGAATTTTGGCTCATTTTTGTTTCCTGCTTTTCACTCTCAGAAAACAAATGTTATACTATAAAACGACTTAGGTGTAAATACTCGCTTTTTACTTAATGTTTGGTGAGATTTTGTCATTGTTCGAAAAGTTCTTTTCGCGAAATTGTGCAAAAAGAGGCTGAAAATCAAAAATCTTGAAAATCAAAAATTACATATATTTGCAAAATCGCGCGCAAAGATCAAATTATATATTCCAAAACTACATAAAATTCTCTAAAACATTCGTCAAATTTCAAGACCTGACGGACCGGTACTCAAACTTTTTTTTCTAATAATCTTTAGCATCTACATTTCTAAGTAAATTTTGTGGTAAGAAAATAGGAAAGTTCCAAATAAATGATAAATACCTTCACCTCAATATTCCACGATATTTAGATAATTGATTACAGTTGAAAAAGAAAAATTTTCTTTAATGGGTTAACCGCCAAAGGCAACTTAACTGATTTCTCGGTATCGCGCCGATTCCCGTATTTCTTTGGAAATGCATCGTTCGTGAAGAAGGGGGGTGAGTAAATAATGTGAAATGTGGTATTTGTGACTTTTACTTTTCCCTCTCTAAGTCCAACCGGTTTTTTTTATAAACTGTCACCATGACTTGTTTCTATCTGCCTCCATATAGTCGAAACACTGTGCGGCGGCGCGAATAGAAACGATGCCTGCAATCGAAAATAAATCTGCGTTTATTTGTCGACTTTAAATCAATTTTAAAGTGGGTTTTTACAATAAAAGTATATCTACACATATCAGTGCCGTACCTATTAGTGTCAGTGAAAAATATAATATCGTTGCCCCAGTCCCAAATAGAGTTTTTCAGACCGTCCGGCACATTGCCGTTTTTTACCGTCAGTGCTGCTTCAGTATTCGTCCCGCAATTTTTTTAACACTCTAAAAACTGCTACTGAAAAGTGTTTATTTTCAAATAAAATCTGTGTAAGTATACGCATAAGATGTTCAAGACTGGATTTTTGAACACGAGATTTTTTAAANCCCGCAATTTTTTTACACTCTAAAAACTGCATGTAAAACTGCTACTGAAAAGTGTTTATTTTCAAATAAAATCTGTGTAAGTATACGCATAAGATGTTCAAGACTGGATTTTTGAACACGAGATTTTTTAAAATATTCACATGAAGTGTTCAAAATTGCAAAAATACATTCCCTACTAAAAACAAAAATTAAGTACATTTTATGTGTCTTTTTGCTCTACGCGACAAATTTGGTATGTAAAAGTAAACAGGCACGGTGTCTAAATTTGCACACATTAGGAGCGGAAACTGGTAACCTCTCTTAATATGCGTTGATTTAAACAAAAAACTTTTAGAGCAAATTTTAAACACTTTATGTGTAAACTGTGTAATTGTGAACGCTAAGAAAATTCGATAGAAATTTTTTATTTAAGTTTAAGTATTTATTTAACTATACTTTAAAATAGTTAAATTAACGGCCCTAAGGGCCAAATTCACAGTGCTTTACTGAAAACCTGTAGTTAACTGAAGATTCTGAGTTAACTACGCACTGTGAATTTGGCCTTAAGTGTTTAGAATTCAACAAACAAATTTCAAATTTGTTCCACGCCACACATATGGTTAGTAAAAGTTAAAAAAGCAGTATTAAAATTGATTAACAAAATTTGCATACATTAGGAAACTGGTTACCTTTATTAATATGCTTAAATTTAAACAAACATTTTTTAGAGTGTAGTTAACTCGGCAAAGATTTATTTGTGTATTTCCCTGACGAGCTGACGGTATTCTATTGCAAGTTTTGTTTAATATGGAGGGCAAATGAATCGAGTTGGTACGGAATTATCCAGAATTATATAATATGGCAATAATTGACAACTGATCATTAGTAAAATAAGCCATCTTGGTTTCAGTGAACTTCATTTTACTGAAAGTACCGGACGACATACTACGGATGTGTGTGAATTGGTATCACTGATCGATGCTGATTGGCAATGATACTGAACTGATACGGAACTGATTTGTGAAGATAGATCTTAACTTTTGTTATTATCACCAATCGATTACAACACATTATGTTTAGGCGCGTCTGCTAACACCAGGCGCCTAAATACATGCTATGTACTGCTGCATGTGCAAAAATTTCGTTTATGCAATTTAGGAAATTTTTGCACATGCACTTCTCAACTGCCATGTAATTGAACTTTCTTAAGTTCTAATTAGATGGCACTTCAAAGTATGCTCTGCCTAGTCGGATGCATCCTCCGGACACTGCTTCCGGAGCATTCTGCGGACTCTGCATGGCTTATAACCATGCGGAGGTGGTAATAGTTGATTACCATTGGCCACAGTGCCTACCCACTACTTTTTGGTCCAATAAATATTTTTTTATATACATACATACATGCAAACATACTGGTCTCCCATCTCACTGAGTTATTCATGGTCCATCTTCGCCAGGAACTATAATTAACCAGAGCAAAGCAAATACAGTCCACTGCAGCTAAACAAAGGCGCCATTCTTTGAATATACCAGCGGTCAAGGGTCACTAGCGGTCTCCAGATTATTACATCTGCGCATACAACTGTCCGCCAGCATCAACTGGAGAATCGCCACAAACACCAGCGTGAAGTTACAATAAGTCGGGAACGTACCACATCAGTACACAACACCCAAATTAAGCACCAGCACCACATTAAAAAACATTCAGGAGTTTTAAAGGTATGTGGTTGACATTTCAAATTTCTTGCACATTCTCGTATACGTAATACGGCAAATATGTAAATCATTAGCAATTAAATATGCATATGTATATATGTATAACTTGCCACCCAGCTAAGGTTTTAAAATACACAATGAACCATAATTGTGCATACGGCGATAAAAAGGGGGTTTAACTTTACAGAATGCCTCGCTTCACGGCCACCCGCACTAAGACCGAAAAACGTGTCGATCATTTTAAGATTCCTTGTCGGTTGTGCGGTAACAACCACGGAGTACGACTCTGCCCCATATACCGAGGGAAATCCGCAGAGGAAAGGTTGCGGGCGATTTTGATACATCGGTACTGTCCCAACTGTTTGTNACCCCATATACCGAGGGAAATCCGCGCAGGAAAGGTTGCGGGCGATTTTGATACATCGGTACTGTCCCAACTGTTTGTCGCCATTCCATCGGATAGAAATATGTGGAAGCAATGACCGATGCCACCGCTGCGACGAAAAGCACCATACCTCCCTGCATATTGAAGACTACGGCGATCCAAGGGAAACGACGGAAAATCACCCCGATAACGACGACGGCTCTGACGGAGCGATTTCGCTCTACGGTTCCGACCAAACGACGTCATGGGCGAAGCAGGTAGAGGCAGAAGAGGTGGAAAGACGGGAAGAGATAATCCCTTCACCACCAGACGGCGGCTTGAAAACCCGCAAGATTCGACCGCCGCTACAGCACGAACTTGAAGCAGACAGTCCCATGCCAGCAGTGCTCACACACACACAGCCAACGGGCGGTCAACGAAATGACGCGGAAACTAGTCCTTTTCGCTCATATCGGCGCGGAACCAATTCTGGCCACCGAGATGACGCGGAAACTCGTCCTTTTCGCTCATTTTGGCGCAAGCGTAATTGCAGCCAGCGTGATGGCGCGGAAACTCGTCCTTTTCGCTCGTCGCGTTGGCAAGCAATAAGGGCCGCACGACACCGACGTGGCGACCGTTCCTCCCTCACCATCCAACGCATTCCATCGGGTGGATTCCGGACAGGCAAGTTAAAAACAATCGCGGTTCCAGCACCAATAATGCGCTCATTCGTAGCCATCGCCCCAACCGCAATTGTACGAATCGAGTCAGGCGGCCGACTTCATCTGGTGCGGGCGTTGATTGACTCTTGCGCCCCCAGCAGTACCATCGACAGGGACCTAGCACGGGAGCTTCAGCTCGAAGTCAGCAACGCCCGCGCGAAAACATGTTCCCTCGTGCTGCGAGGAAAGTACGGGGTCGCGGAACGAGTAATTACTCAGGCCAGGCTAGTTACGCGATACAACCGACTCAGCCCCGCGGCTAACATCGACCCAACGATAGCGACGCCGTTTCAATTTATGCGTCTGGCGGATCCACAGTTCTATCGGGCCACCCCCACTCGACTAACACTTGGCGCTGATGTATACGCCCAGGTCATGGTATGTGGCACTCCGCCAACAACGATCGGCGGTTTACTGGCGCAAGCTTCCATGTTCGGGCTGATTATATCAGGAGCTCACCAAATGTGACAAAATAGTTAAAATTTTATATTTAGTATTCATGAATACATACCGAATTTAAATAAAAGTGCAATGAAATGATCAACCACACCTTTTTTTCCTATTAGCTTTTTCTTCCATTTTTCCCCGTAGCTAGAGATTGCAAGGAGGACCGGAGAACGTGCGGACTAGATCCCCGGGCAAGGACCAATCTGCGGCAGAATTCACAAAGTTAAAGAACATAATTTACAATGTAAATAAATGTAAATGTAAGGTGTGGTAGCTGAACCATCTTTGAAACGTTGCTTATAGCAAGGGGGCCGGTATGTTTAGGCCTCCACGCTAAATCAAATACTTAAAGTAAATTATCGGGTGTACCACCCTAATGTTAATTTAACAGATGCACACACATACACATTCGTATGTGAAACAAGACAAAAAGAAAAACTGCACTTTTCCTGTCAGTGCACCTTCGTTAAATTTCCCCTGAAAACGGAACTCTTCAAACCGTTTAGAGGGTTCGACTTCAGTTTCTAACTTTTTAAACTTTCTATTGGATTTCAATCACCAGCGATTACGGACGTTCCGCCACCACACCACTTCATAATCAAGGTAATATTGTAAGCCCCCTTGAATTTTAATATACCTATTAAATAAACCGTCAAACTTAATTGTATTTCAAACTAAAACCTGGTGCTTTTGTTTTCTTATTTTTCCAATAAAAAACACTGGTGCACTTATCGAGTCTATACCCATTAAGTCGCCAGGGTTTTTCATGGTCCTTCGAGCCGGATCTTTGCGGCTATGTCATATTCACTAGACGACCAAATCGTCTAGGGGGGCCGGTATGTTTAGGCGCGTCTGCTAACACCAGGCGCCTAAATACATGCTATGTACTGCTGCATGTGCAAAAATTTCGTTTATGCAATTTAGGAAATTTTTGCACATGCACTTCTCAACTGCCATGTAATTGAACTTTCTTAAGTTCTAATTAGATGGCACTTCAAAGTATGCTCTGCCTAGTCGGATGCATCCTCCGGACACTGCTTCCGGAGCATTCTGCGGACTCTGCATGGCTTATAACCATGCGGAGGTGGTAATAGTTGATTACCATTGGCCACAGTGCCTACCCACTACTTTTTGGTCCAATAAATATTTTTTTATATACATATGTACATACATGCAAACATACTGGTCTCCCCTCTCACTGAGTTATTCACATTACATGTACATACATATGTACTAGGGTTACAATGGCCGCCCATATTAATTATGGATACTAATAAAGGCAAAATTCTTCCCCTGAAGAGGTTTCCCATTTGAGTTTCAATACGGTTTCTCCTTAACCTTAATGCATAATTACTCACGAAGCGTCGCGAAGCACGCCGGGTATTTGTTAGTAATGAATAAAACTCCTTCCGAAACAAACATTCTACCGGAAAAGTGCAGCTATACTAAAACAGCTAAGCGAATAGGCAGTTAAACGGAATGTACCGTAGCAGACTAATTTTAATTTAATAATTCTATCGTTGCCTTAATCCACCTAACATTAATAATGAAATAAGATTTGTAGTACAGAAAATGATGACAAGTATATAGTAGTTGAAGCACGATAAAACGAAAAATATAGTTCATAAGAATGCCTTAATTTAAACAGAAAGAAGATAGTTTATTTCATTTAATTTATGCTACTGTTTTATATTTTAATTTGTTTACCCCGAACGACGTCGGGTGCTCTGCTAGTCCTGGTTAAAGGTAGACTTTAAGTTGGCAAAAATTAAATCTTTCAGGCCATCTGTAAGTTGCTTATTTTACTTCGTTATCTTAAAAATAAACGATAAGAAAATGTTTTAGGGTGATTAGTTGAAATGTATAAATGCCCTCATTAACAATCAAACTGTTTAAGTTGCCAAATGTATTCCTTATTTTGATTAACTAGCATTTCAAACAAATTTTGATTTTATCATGATACAAATATTTAAAGGTAAAACCGTTCGCTCATTTCGTCGGCCATGATTTATGTTTTGAAGTTTGTCTACTTTGTAAAATTCAAATTTCCAGACAAACTCAAATGCCAAATAAAAGTAAAACAAAAAACAAATAGATGAAAATATTCATATTTTCCATGATACAAATGTTTAAATGGTAGTTTCACTTCTTCCTGACGATGAGTTGACGATCAATCACTTCTTCCTCTTATTCGCCCTTGCTCCCATTTGACGTATCATGTTTTTTTTTCAGACTAAAAGTGAGACTGTATTTGTGAGACTGAAAATTTTAAAACAATTTTGTTATGTTAGCATACTTCTAAGACGTTCATGCTGCTTCTCAGCGGTTTTACCTTCAAATTTTTGTATCTTGGTATTTCATAGCCAACTAAATTTAAATTTTGAGAGTGCTGAAAACTTTTCGCTGTATCTCTTTTATTAACAACACTAGCAGACCCGGCGATCTTCGTCCCGCCCAAAATTTTTATATATTTTATTGAAACTTTTTGGTCCAACATTTTCACCAACAATTCACGTTTACGATTTTCATTGGCACATTTGTCTGCTAAGATTAAGGTTTGGTGGTCATTTGCCGCTTTAAATAACCTAAGGAAAGTGCTATATCCGTTCTTGAAATTCTCCAGTTGTGCGGCATTTCATAGCACGGTTATTCGCAAAGCGAAATAAATTTTTTCCTCTCCCTGGCGGCAACAATGACCCGGTTCTATAGTGAATATCCTAGAAGCTTTACAGTATAGTAGGTGCCAAATCAAAATGGGTGCGAATCATTGTTCTGTACCTTAAAAGTTTGAACGCATAATAATATTGGAAAATCACATCCTTTGGGCCAATTGCAACGCAGGACCGTCGATATACTCAATGGTGCAACAGGTCGATTTAATCTGACCTTCACGGCCCCTTTTCTCACTTGGCTATTTTTAGTAATAGCTCGACTTCAGCACCACTTGGCAGCACGCTTTTGCAATAGTATTGCATACATATTTAAAACATTAGCCAAATCGGATCATAAATAAGATTTTTAGTAATAACTCAACTACAGCGCCAACTGTCGGATTAAATTTTGAAACTAAACCATCCAGAGACCCACTCAAATACACAAAAAGTTTCGTTAAAATCCGTACAACCCTTTAGGAGGATTTCACTCACAAACACACCTACAGAAGAATAAAAAAATTCATTCAAAGATAGCTAAAGGTCGGTAGGTTTGTAGGCCTCACACCCCTTTTCAAATAGCCCAAATTTTCTCCATGAGTATGGGCTTGATTTCAACTATATACATATCTCCATACGAAGTTCCAGTACAGTACCATGAATACTTCCAGAGATATGCAGTATAAAAATTCGATTTATATGGGAAGAGCCACGCCCCTTTTCCAACAGCTGCCCTCCTTCTTCATGAGTATGCGATTGATTTCGTATATCTCCACACCAAGTTCCAGAACTCTACCATGAACACTTCCAAAGATAGGCAGTATGAAAAATTCGGTTTGTATGGAAGATGCCACGCCCCCTTTTCCAATAGTTCCAATTTTTCTCCAAGAGTATGCGATATATTTCGTACATCTCCATACAAAACTCTAGAACTCTACCAAAAAATTTCCAGAGATAAGCAAAAATTCGGTTTGTATGGGAGATGTCACACCCCTTTTTACTATAGCTTAAATTTTTCTCCAAGGGTATGCGATTGATTTCGTAAATCTCCATACCAATTTCCAAAACTCTACCATGCACACTTTCAGAGATATGTAGCATGTTTACATATCGATTTTTTTTTTTTCAGCCTAAAACCATCCTTGGGACACGTGCGGCAGGTGGCAGTTTCAAAAAAATCGGTTCAGCCGCTCTCGAGCCTTGCGAAAACTAACAAACGGCGTTCTAAATATAAATTAGTTGAGATATATTATATATTATAATTATATTTTGCCAGTATCCGTTCTTTCTGATTGGCGCAAAAAAATCTTGCCTAGTGACGAATTCGCCCCTTGATATGGTCGTTACTTAAAGCTATTTTTATTCGAAATTGCATGAAAATTGGAAAACAGGAATCTATAAGCTTATCCAGGCAAAAAGCTACCTATGTACCGAATTTTAAGCAAATCGGACCGTAAAAACGATTTTTTCGAATAGATCAGTCCCTGGTCCACTTCTCGGCAAAAATGGGCCATATACCCTAATATATGCTAAAAACTACTTACGTACCGAATTGTAAGCAAATCGGACCATAAATGCGATTTTTTGGAATAGATCGGTCCCTGGTCCACTTCTCGGAAAAAATTGATCACATATGCTAATACATGCTAAAAAGCTATCAGCGCACCGAATTTTAAGCAAATCGGACCGTAAATTCAATTTTTTCGAATAGATCGGTTCCTGGACCACTCCCCGGAAAAAATGGGTCATATATTTTAATTTTAAGCAAATCGGACTATGATAAGATTTTTTCGAATAGACCGGTTCCTGGTCCACCTACCCGAAAAAAGTAAAATTTTTTTAGCCTAAAACATGATGGTTACCGAAGGCTATTTGTATACAAAATTTCATGAAAATTTGACCAGCCGTTCGCGAGATTACCTGTTACAAAAAAGGGACTTCTATTTATATAATTAGTATAGAATGGATATAGATATAGAATAGATATAGATATAGATAGAAGATATAGATTAGTATAGAAGTATAGATAAGTACACTCAAATGCCAGATTTTCAGTAGTTCCACCAGTGGAGTCCATAGAAGACGGAAGTTAAGGCTCCTATTGCGTAAAAATTATCACTTGGTGGTTTGGCTATAACAATCTGTAATCATATGGCAAGGCCCTCATCTTCCTTATATTTTTTTACGTTTTCGGTAGGACCTTCGATTTCGGTATGTAAAATACAATTAAACACTTTTTCTGCTTGTCTTTTGAGGGTTGTATTTCAATTTTACTTCTTTATCTTCACTTTATTTTAATTTCACTTCACTACCCGCACCAATTACCTCTTTTGCATTTTCATTTTCAATACGATCGAAATTTTTTTTACCCCTTTACGTAACAGTTCCGAATTCGTTAAGCCAGAGTGAAAGACTTTCGACTTTGTTCAAAAAAGTCTGATAACCGAAAAATTCGGTGGGGAATCGTTAATTAACATTGAAAGGCCTTCGACTTTGTTTCCGGTGTGAGGAATCGTTACGAAATCGTTAAGAAGGATCGAAAGACTTTCGACTTTGTTTAGAAAAGTCTGGTTTCCGACAAATTCGGATGCTTTGGTTTAGTGAGTAATTATGTATGCTGTCGCGTTCAGCGTTGCCGCGGCCAAGAAATAAAATTTACCGAAATAGTTCAAAAAATTTACAAAATCCCGTTAAAATTATGTAACATATCTGAGTAGTCCACTTGCAAAGTGCGCTATGTAAATTTGTTTCGATTTTTAGGTTTTGGTGGTTAACGTACCAGTATTTAAAGTAGTTTCATGTCCACTAACAATACAGTGCAAAATCCTTTTATATTCTAAAAAAAATAACATCAAATGTTAGCTACTCTAGCAAAAGTCGCTATAATACTTACTGTATGCATATCTGCGTTCGTATGGAAAAGTAGCTTATGTCGAAAGGTTGGCTTTAGTATCATGCGGCATTCCTTTTATTCTTTGAACGACAAAGAATTTTTTGATGAGACGTAATAAGAATATTGACTTGCTAGTATCGGAACTATTTCTTGCACGTTTATTTGCTAAAAGTTGTTCAACGGCTCAGCGCCAGCGAGTCATTCGCAATCGTATACTGCAAATGCCGATTTATATTAAAGTCAGCCTTTCGAGATAAGCTACTTTTCCATACGAACACAGATATATAAACTTTCAAAAGTCGCTATAATATTTATTGTATGTATTTATACAAGTTCAAAAGTCTCCATCTTCTAATG